ACAGTTTATACAAGAAGTTAATTTACTACAGTTGCATTCCTGTCATTTTTTATTCAGAACAGGAAAAAACTAAGCGAAAGACTATAGAGTAGCACACGAAATATGGATGGAGAATACCGACAAGATTCAAGTGTATAAACACCCAATAAATCTACGAAGGACACTGTACAAGAAAATCAATGTAAATGGGTATTGCTGGTCCCTAGGTCCTCAGGAAAGAAGTTCAACACGAACTACGTGACCACATCCACTTGTCAAGGTATTCCTCAATTTTTGTCACGTCATAGTTTGTTATCAAACATAAATCAATTACGCAATTATTTAAGCTGCTGCAGCGTGATTTCATTTAGAAAAAGCGACTGCAAACCTGCCCTGGAGACTAAACGTCATGCCAAAAGCAGGGATGAATTACGTCAGAGAGTCTTCCAATACCTCAGGAAAATCGAAAAATGCACCGGACCAGGTGGCAAATTTTTTCTTCAGTACTCATCTATTAGATGACACTTGTAGTGCAGGCAGGAATTGATACGACACCACTTCAAAACCTTCCGTTGGATAGCTAGCTCTACTGTGACGCAATGCTCTTCGAAGTGCTCCACCCAGTAATCAAGCAAACGATCCTAATTCTGGATTGGTCGCTCATTTTCACAGCCGATGTTTCTGCTCACCTGGAATCCTTCGAATATAGATGTCTTGTATCAGTTCAACACAGTACGTAGATGCTTTATACATTGCAGAGTTTACGAATCCATGGATGTGTTTGAAAATACTACTTAGTTTCATCCATATACTGACGAAATATCACATAAAACATAAAGCGGGATTAAAGAAAGCAAAGAATGAGAAAAAAAGAACAAAGGGTCACATCTATAAAAATGACTAGAAATAATTTGTTCTGAAAAATATTTCGTGCGCTTACTTTCTTCGACATCGGATAAGCGGTCTTATCAGATAATCATGAAATGCTGGTATTTGCAAGATACGCGAAGCCACGGAGCTGGGAGATTGGTCAATAAAGGTATTCAGGAGGTCAAGAGCCAACTGCTTTAATTTGATGCTACTTGATCGTAGGCTCTCCATAAATTTCAGCAGACCTGCAACATCACGAGAACCAGCTGAAAACAGAAACGGTATCAGAAAGTAACAACTTGAAAAGGGAATCCGAAACAAAAGGATGTTCAATCAATTTGAGGTAGACTGTATATGTTGCGAACATAAATCATCTCAATCATTCTGTTTGTGGAAATGTTTTCCACAGTGCGGAACCAGGAGTAAAGACAAAATTTATAATTTAACACTTCTTATGGGGACATAGAAATTCATCACTAGACAAATGCAGAAAAGGTGCTGATGAACGAACGATGTCACCAGGGCAAGTAGAGTCAGAACTTTAGGATTATCGGAGTGTCAACTACTCCTTGGAGTGTAAATACTGGAGTCCAACAGATCTCTATGCATTTACGAAGTCAGTAGCATGCGAAAATACCCAAATCAAGATAACTAATTTTGAATGCATGTACCAACCGGATGAGGGTTACAAGACCTATGGAGTCACAAACGCACTGCAATTATCCTTAATTCATTTATGGTTTTCTGTTTCATAGTGAAACTTACGCGAACACATGATACGGCCAGGAACACGGGATTAAAATGTAAAAAGTGATGAACGAAAACGGATGTGACAACGTTCATGTTTGTGGTTCACTTTTATTTGGGCCAGAATTCAGAAGTCTTAGACTGGTTTGATTTCTTGTTCATACAATCACTAGAGTTGTACACAATCGTTGTACTTTCCTGTTATGATACGTCAATGAACCATAATGAAACATCTAGACAACGGAACTGTGTGGACAGCAAATAATGGAGAATACACAGTGAATAGGCAAACTAATGCTGAAGGCACAAGAATATATTTTCTAGTACAAGGTGTTCCCGTTGAACTGGAAGCTTAACTCGATGAAGAGAATTACGTAGGACAAACAAAATTTACATGACTTTTAGCCAATCCGTAAATTAACTCCAACAACCAACAGACATATCGAACTGATGAAATATATTCAGAGTAAAGCACAACCCAGGTCCCGGCTACAGGAGCCTGTGGCTCACTACTGTAGTTTGGTAATAAGTTATTTTGCGTCTAAGCGTATAGCTGATGAGTGAATGGTTTTGACCATCTCAAGGTCTGACACAAAAGTAACGTTATCAAAAGCTGACAGTATTCTGTGCATCTTCGGGGCAGATGGACCATTATATTAATTACATTTTTGCAGTACATACTGGACCACTGGTAGACAAACTACTGTAACGTTAACGACTAACGACATCTAGATTGGAAAACACAAAATAGCTTTCTATATACTTTGTTGAGTTTTCTCTCCCTGTAATTTAACTCCAAGATAGGATGCGATTTTTTCATTCACCCAGTTTAAACAAATTAACTCTGGTTAATCTATGGTTTGAAATAGCTTTGACCCACTTTCGCAGTAGCGCATTCAAACACAGGAGGTTACGTCGTTTCAGATAAACACTTTCTTCATTCCGGGGAAAAATCCAGTAGATGGCCCGAGGGATAAATGAAGTGCAAGGTGTCCTGATAATACTTTTTAGAAGTCAGCAGTTAAATTGATGTTTAAAACTTTCCACTCAACGTATACGGAGTCACTTCTGATACGTGTAATCACTCAGTGTCTGAAAATCTGTCTTGTATTATGCTTGTTGTGTAGAAGGAATATCCTAAGAACAACAATAACGTGAACAATATCGGTGTTCCGTAAAACGTTACACGCGCTGCTCTGAATACCTGATTGGAACGCTGATTAGCTTCAAAGCCCCAGACGATTGTACGATTTGAAATGTATAAATGGAAAGCTGTCGTCGTTGACTGCACTGATATAACCGAGAAAGTAGGTCAGTGCTTAGAAATTAGGAGAAACGTGAATCAAAATAGTTGGTATCATTCCACGGATCGTAAGTTTAACGACATTCTAGCGTAAAATGGTCTAGCTGAGCTCACCACAATGAAAAAGCGGACGAGAAGGGAGACTGGTCTACGTCAGTTTGCTTGAAAATGCGAAGGAAAGTTAACTGTCTGCACAATTGCAGAAGCTTTGCGATTATAGATTTTCACCCTAGAGGGGAATGACTTATCAAACGGAAGCCAATATCTGCGTTATTGAATACTATTTACCTTATAAGTGAAACCTGTATTTTATGTTGTAGTGGTCCCGTATTTGTCTGGGTAATGTTCATTGTAGGGTTAAAGATAAACGAATATTATAGGTGTTCAAGCACTCTTGTCTCTGCCACAGTATACGAGTACGGTAGGATAACCGCAAAATATTTCCAGATAAAGTGCAGGAATTCAGGAGTTTTCTGTTGCGCTCCAACATAAGCACTTGAACTCCATTGACACCCGTGGTTAGCCATATGTGATACACATCAATGGTATGCAATAATAAATGAGACAGGTATTAATTGGATGGAGGTGATGCTTTGCCAGACTATCCATAACTATCATCAGTGGATCTAGTAAGACACTTGAGACTTCTCGGTTTGGAATCTTAAGACCGGCCTTTCCGTTCACTGTCCTCCTTCCTCCACTCGGTTGGCCGAACCAAAATCATCACCCAGAAGTGAAGCTGAATGTATGAAAAAAGAGTTATGAGTCAAAAGGACAAGCTGATCCGTGATACGACCTCAAAAACTAGAATCAGATTATTTCCTTTCATTTCATTTTATTGAATATGCAATTATACAGCTTTCAGGATGGGGGAAGCGGCCAGTCAAAGGACTGCCATACAAGATATTTTAAGGGAAAATCAGGCGGTGGTGGCAAGATTCGAGGACACATCCTTCGGAGTGCTAATTTGGTGACGTTACTACTGGGCCACCACCGATTACCTTTAGGAAAAAATACTTTCCTTCAGCGTTAAATTTATTTGGGTTATTGTGACAAGAAGAAAGAAATCAAGGCATAAACCCATCAATTAGGTAATTCTGTAATAGTGACATTTTCCTTAGCGAAAAATGCTGAAGAACTATTTAAAAAAGTCCTCGATATGAGTAACACCATCTTTATTGACCACAATTTGGGGTACTGCGCTCGTTAGCTCCTCACCTTTTTGTAATATCTTCAAGAATATTTTCACTGACGCTTCTTCATGTAAAAGTGAGGAAAAATTGGTGTGATGCATCATCAAACTAGCAAAACCGCCATAGTCGTCGAGGAACAGCTGCATTCGACTGGAATCCGGTACACGCCCACTCGAGAGCAAAATGTGCAGTATCTGAAAATTAAGTAAAGTATTGACCGCAAATAGACTTTGCACATTAACCTATGAAAACAAGCAAGTTATACGTGGTACTGAGAACACAAGTTTATTTTCAGTGTTTTATTGGAACGCTAGTGCAAAACTATATATACTACTGATTAGGTAGAGAAGAAACACAGTAAAGCCAAATCCTGTTCAGTATAACTAGAACTGGAGCGATCTGAGGTTAGAATTACGTAAAAGCGATTGGCCGAACGGATTCGTGAACACCACCCCGCGTGGCTGAACACCGGAACGATTAATTCCCTCACCAGTGCAGTGGTTTCACATCTAACTGAAACAAATCACACTGTGAACGTGTGTGAGGCTTTCCGCCCTCTGTATAAAGTTCGTGGGCGATTATCGTGTGATTTTCCAAAAACAATTTTATTCACAAGTAGTGATATATATTGAGATGTATTGGAAAGAATACGAATACCTGAAAACGAGCTTGTTCGTCACTCTGTTGTTGTGTTTGAAATCTAAGATCAGTCGAACAATTGTTTTCTAAATTGCCAAACATTCTAGCTTATGCCATAGATTAACAGGACACTGACCTGGAGCGTTTTCTTTTTTGCATTTGCATCCACTTCGTCCAGCGGCTTCATAATGAGGGTATACAGATTAACAGCAACACTGGTCTCTCCAAGATTACTAATGAGTTTATCCTTAGTTTGATGGTGTTCCAATAAACGAAGAAGCATCGACAGAAGTGCATCGATCTGCAACAAAAAATGAGAACAGCAGCCACATATATAAATGAAGAATTAAGAATATATGAACAAGTTGTTAGACAAGACAGACTCCTTTAAAAAACGTCCATAAGTTATTGTACGTCATGCACGTGTCATTACTAACCTAATAATACCGATCAGCTAACGTAAAGCTGTTGAATGAAATACTGTCTGCTTGACATGCAAACTTAGGATCATCAGCAAGCACAGGACACCCTGTCATTAGATCTCACACAATTTAGTTGAACCGTGTTGAGCTAAGTTCAAAGGAATGCCCCACGTTCCTTAGAATCTAAAAGTTATCACAAAGGAAAAAGGTTTTTGACTGAATTCCTGGAAACCGAAGAGGAAGACAGAAAGTGAAAGAAACGATTACTTCATTCGACCAAAGACAAATATATATAGTCACCCCTTTACTAAATTGAATACAGTGCACCACCTACGATGGCTTGAACGTGCAACGTGTCTACCTGTCCATTACGATCGTTGTTTTCTACTTCGAGGCTGGTAATCTGATAAAGAGTTACAAGTGAGGGGCATGAAGGACTGAGCGATGCTATCGATCATTCTTCTCGTTTGTTCGATTAGCACTTGAGGGATAACGGCTAGTGCTAGCTATAAACTCCAAGGGATATGACCCATAATGGAAATCAGCGGGCACCAAATATGACTGTGATTACCAGTGACTCTCTCAGTTAAACTCAGACGAGATACAATAACAATAACTAAAGTGCATAGGGTGAAATAACATGAAATACATGCACTCTATTTTAAACAGAGTGCTACTGCGTATCGAAGTAAATGATAGCAAGTCACCGGCGTTGGCGTTTTTTGCTACTTCTTATCAGACCACATTACTTGAGAATATATGTATGCGCAGTCAAACTGTGTACACCAGGCAGTGACTAAACTGGTTCACTTTCTTCTAGCCCTCATTCAAAACATGTTTATTCCATAATCACCTTACAAATTCTCACTTACTTTGCATGCACTGCGAGCTTGGAAGCGATAAGCGAATTTCGCTTCACTGTATTACATTGTACGACGAACACGCATGAAAGCCTTTTTTCATCTCCCGCGCTAGTCAGCTCACAGCTGGAATGATTGGAACTACCCATACGAATTTGGGCAGATGATCTTATCAGTTTTTAACACTACAGCTCCACAGGGAGGCACAACATGCAGCCTGGTAACTTCAATCGAAGCCACCCACTAGATCAAGTTTACTGATAGGGTGCGGCAGCAGTCTATAAAGGAACCGACCAGGTTGG